AAACAACACGGCGTATATAACAGCCACCGGTGTTCCCATTGCCGTCCCTCTGAACCGGGTTTAGGGTTTAGGGTTTAGGGTTTAGGGTTTAGGGTTTAGGGTTTAGGGTTTAGGGTTTAGGGTTTAGGGTTTAGGGTTTAGGGTTTAGGGTTTAGGGTTTAGGGTTTAGGGTTTAGGGGGTAGGGTTTAGGGTTTAGGGTTTAGGGTTTAGGGGCTTTAGGGTTTAGGGTTTAGGGTTTAGGGTTTGTTTTAAATAATAAAATAGGCCTAGCTGCAGCAACTATGGCCTCTAAAAGAGGCCGCCTAGTCTAGGTAGCGGGTCCTTAGAAAAAACAGGGGAGCGCGAGGTGGAGGAGGTGAGTGGCGATTGAAATTTGGGGGTGGGGGGATTTTTTTTCAAATTCGAAATTCAGAAATCGGGGCGCGCATTTCGCATGCGCGCCTCGGGAAGTCAACGCGATTAAATTGGGGGGTGGGGCGGCGGAAATTGCGCGCTGCAGGCGAGGAAATTTCTCGCCTGCGCCGTGGAAACCGCGCGGTACAGTGCGGTACCGATCGCGCTGCTGAAAACTAACTCGACTAACTTAAAAATAAACTAACTAATTAGCTGCTTCTCTCTATTTTAAGCTAGGAAAACGTGCCTGGGGCTTGGGGACTGAAAAAACGCAAATGCATTTCGGCCAGTAAGGCCATCATCAGTGCTAACAAACCCCAGAGTGTCGAAATCCTAACCTAAGAAATGAAAGAGAGAGTTGGGAGGGAAGGGCTATCCCCTGTAGTAGCTGCTACACTAAAATACCAACTTAGAAAATTGAAACTAACAATTTTATGGCATCATATGGTGCAGATAAAACTGAAAGTAACCATTTCTTGTCGGCAAAATTAATGCAGTGAGTTCTTGGGAATGTAGCACCTGCGCATATGTCAAATATGGAAATCGGTGGGTGCGAAAGGGGCGTACAGCGAGAAGGGTGCTAGAAGGGGGGATAGGAGGAAAAACACAGGGTAAAGGTAATTGTGCTCGGTAGTCACAACCCGCCTAGGTGCGCGCAAGCGTGACGTGGTCCGTGCAGTGTGCTGTCGTGTCTGTCCATGTGCCTGTACATCCCGACATATGACTGTGCACCAGCGACGCATGATATGCAACGATGCCATGAGTGTGGCATGAGTGTCGCATGCGAACAAGGTCTCAGTCGAATTGGGGTGAGCGGCTTTATGAATGCAGATGTGAGCGTATTGGTGTGCAGTGATGGTCGTTGTGGTAGTGCTGGTGTGCAGTGGTGATATGCATGGGGGGGGAACACAGAGAACACAGGAAGGTCATTAGTATCCTGGCAACCTGCGTGGGGTCAAATGGGGGGTGGGGGAGGAATGGAGGGAGAGGGGGGATGAGACGAGCATCGGGGCAGGGTTTCGGGGCTACATGAACAACAAGGCAGCAATACTTACTGTAGCGTCATCGACTGTGGCGAGACAAATTCCCAGCCTGGGGGATAGCGGCAGAGACACATGCGACCAGAGCAGCAGAGGCACCGCCAAGGCAGGTGTAGCCTGCAGCGTAGGCCGTATCTGCAGGCAATGCTGTAGCCATAGTATAGCTACAGCACGCGGTGGTATTGATACTCGTGTATGCGGATGGGGTCACTTAAAGCGGGGGGGGGGGGGGGGGGGGGGGGGGTGGGGGGGGGGGGGGGGTTCGGGGTGGCGCAGCCCCCCCGATCGTTTTTTTTGTATTCTGAAGCGTGCGTGTTTGGTGAGGATGATGTGCATGTCGAGTGATAGTGATGTCTGTGATAGCGAGGGTGTGCCGGTCGTGCTCAAGAGGTGCTACTCTCTGACATACCTGCGGTCGTCGTGCTCGTGAAAGCGGCGCGTACAAGCATGCTTCGGAGTTTGGGTGCCGCTTTGAAACAGAAGAAAGGTGGCGTTGGACATAGAGTTTTGAGGGTCTCCTCGCTCGACTCCGAGCGGAGAATAGACCTCAGGGCGGGGTGCTCTAGACTCGGGTGGTACTCGAGCACGAATGGTAGCACTCGACTGTCCTTTTGCTTACCTTTCTCCGACTTCTGCAGCAGTGTAGCTCTGTCGGCGTACGTGACCTCGCTGAAGACCTTGTCGATAAAGGTAGCGTGGTACCCGCGTGCTTGTAACCGAGCTGCAAAACGGGACTTCATCTGCTGAAAGCCATCCTCAGAAGACTCCCTCAAGACGGTAGCGATATAGCTCACCAATAATGAAGCCCCGCTTGCAGTGTCGAGGGTGTGCCGATCGGAACGGAAAGTACTGATACGCATTGAGAGGTTTTTGGTACACCGAGGTGTCCAAGAACCCCCCTTGCACATTTTCCTTCCCGGTCGTCTCCCACAGCGTACCTTTCCGGAAGGTGATGTCGAGGAGTGTGAATGTGGTCGTGCTGATCTCAGTCGTGATGGAGATGCCCTCTAGTAGGTTGTTGTACCCCTCAATCCATCTGTGTAGGTCCGCGAGCGAGCCCGTCCAGACCACAACCCCATCGTCGATGTACCGCTTGTGCAGCAGCACATGTTCACACAGGGCCGGGTGTAGCTCCTCCATTCGAGTGTCTAGCCAACTCATAAACAACACGGCGTATATAACAGCCACCGGTGTTCCCATTGCCGTCCCTCTGATCTGTCGGTAGAACCGGCCGTCGAACTGAAGGTGGTTTTCAGTCATGACTAGCCGGAGCAGCTCGGTGCAGGCTCTCAGCTGTGCTGAAATACCTAGATCGGAGTACAGGTGGAGACCCTGTGCCAGTATAAAGCGTCTTGTTGTTTCTTCTATGGCTTCCAAGCCCTGCTTCATTGGTATGGAGGGGTACAGGCTTTCGACATCGTATGTAAGGAAAATGGCATGTGCGGGTATGCGAAGTGTGCGCATCGTGTGCAAAAGGGAGATAGAGTCAGGTAGATGTGCCGGCGCTAGCGCCAGCAGGGGACGCATGTAATGATCCAGGACCTGGCTGGCATGCTCAAAGATCCAGAGTGTCGACGAACATATTGGCCTCCCTTTAACTGGCGTCTTATGCAGCTTAGGTAGCAAATAAAATTTGCATACTCTGAAATGCTCAGACTCATTCCTCGCATCCTCGACTCTTGGTTCCAGAATATACTCCACGGTTTCCTTAGGGAACCTGTGAGCGTATTCCGTGCACCAGGCGTCTAGTCGCTCGAAGAGATGATCCAAGGGTACCGTCTTGACCTCACTGTATGTTTTGGTATCTGAGAGTTGCCTGTGGGCCTCTGCTCGATACCAGGAAGTGTCCATAAGGGCCAATCCTAGGTTCTTATCTGCTGGCTTGATGATGATATTCGGATCCTTACCTAGTTTCTTCAGGCTCCGTAGCGTGCTCTCACTCATGTTTTTGCGGGCTTGTCGCGTCATTAGCGGAAGGTTCTTAACTATTTTACCTTCCACCTCTGCGATGTAGCTCTCAACATCAGCCGACGCACGCTTGGGCTGGTAACCAGGGTTTCGAATACGAAAGCGAGGCGTTGGTTTGCAGGACTTGAAGTGTGATGTCAATCTCACACTTCTCGAAAAACGTGCGAGCGCAGCCACGATGCTCTGTTCAGTGGGTGCAGCAGGCGTTGGGATGAATGCTAGGCCCTGGCTTAGGCCGTCTACCTCCATAGGCGATAGCGCACGAGCGGATTTATTATGTATGAATTTTGAGCCTATGCTGTCTTGGATCGTGAGCATACTGCTACGAAGCAGTTGTTTAGCTGCCAGACACTGGTGTGATGCAGTGTTCTTTTTCCTTGGTCTCGAGCGGTTTGGTTTGATGCCTCTTGGGGTTGTGGCCTGTTGGTTATCTTTTTGGAGGACTGTCGGTGCGTATGTGGGACACTGGGTGGGTGCGTCGTGAGAGAGCAAGGGGGTAGTGAGTGGTACTGACTGTTGGGTGCTAGCGGTGCTTGGATGGAAATTTTCAGGGCTGCATGGTGCCGCTCTCTGTGAATGCGAGCTTGGTGGGTTTGCGTGTGAGTGGCAAGAGTGTGGGGAGTCGAGTGCGTACCTCTGATTTGCGGCGTTTTCTGGTCCATGCCCCGTTGCCAATAGGGGGTGTTGGCTGTTCTGCGATGGGGTGGGTGGGGCTATCACACTAAAAAATGCCCAGGAGTTCTAACGAAGCTGTGTGTAAAGCAGTAATAGGCAATGGGCCTGCCTTGCAGTGGGCACTACACCCTTTTAAGGGGGTGCGGCGGGTACACCCCGGCGGTGAGTTCAAGCTCAGCTCTCGACAGCCCAGCATCCCTGGCATACCAAGGAGCCGGCTACAGGCTCTTCCCTAGGCCCCTGAGGGGGGGGTCTAGAGGCAGGTTGTTTCTTCTATGGCTTCCAAGCCCTGCTTCATTGGTATGGAGGGGTACAGGCTTTCGACATCGTATGTAAGGAAAATGGCATGTGCGGGTATGCGAAGTGTGCGCATCGTGTGCAAAAGGGAGATAGAGTCAGGTAGATGTGCCGGCGCTAGCGCCAGCAGGGGACGCATGTAATGATCCAGGACCTGGCTGGCATGCTCAAAGATCCAGAGTGTCGACGAACATATTGGCCTCCCTTTAACTGGCGTCTTATGCAGCTTAGGTAGCAAATAAAATTTGCATACTCTGAAATGCTCAGACTCATTCCTCGCATCCTCGACTCTTGGTTCCAGAATATACTCCACGGTTTCCTTAGGGAACCTGTGAGCGTATTCCGTGCACCAGGCGTCTAGTCGCTCGAAGAGATGATCCAAGGGTACCGTCTTGACCTCACTGTATGTTTTGGTATCTGAGAGTTGCCTGTGGGCCTCTGCTCGATACCAGGAAGTGTCCATAAGGGCCAATCCTAGGTTCTTATCTGCTGGCTTGATGATGATATTCGGATCCTTACCTAGTTTCTTCAGGCTCCGTAGCGTGCTCTCACTCATGTTTTTGCGGGCTTGTCGCGTCATTAGCGGAAGGTTCTTAACTATTTTACCTTCCACCTCTGCGATGTAG